ACGCATTCACGAAACCCCAGTTTGAATGGAAGACTGGACGATTAATCTTCTCCGCAGCCGACACCTCCTTGGAACCCGAGTCAAATGTCCTCGTCTCCCCTGAGGTGCACCTGCACGCCCTGCTTTCCGGCAGTGGATTTACCGAGTCCGATGGCAACGAGCTGCTGCTGGCAGCAGCCAAGCCGGACGATGAGCCAGACCCGTGGGAAAAGTTACTTGCTAGTCTCCCTGCAAAATACCACGAGTTTGCCGATGTGTTCAACCCCGTCGAAGCGTCGAAGTTGCCGCCGTCCCGACCGTTCGACCACCAGATCAACCTGGTCCCCGGTGCAAAGATGCTGACGGCCAAGTTGTATCCGGTGAAAGAGGCCAACCGAGCGGACTTGAAGATGTACATTGATGAGATGCTGGCCAAAGGGTTCATCCGCCAGTCGCACTTGCCAACAAGCTCGCCGGTCCTGTTTGTCAAGAAGAAAGATGGTTCCCGACGTTTGTGCGTGGATTACTGTGAGCTCAACTCCGTCACGGTAAAGGACAGGAGCCCGATCCCCCTGATCGATGAGCAGCTTGCCCGGCTGCGCCGTGCAGTCCGCATCACCAAGATCGATCTGATGCATGCGTACAATCTGCTGCGGATGGCCCTTGGACACGAGGCAATGACCGCGTTCTCGACCCCGTTTGGTCTATTCGAGTACCTGGTGATGCCGTTCGGACTCTGCAATGCCCCCGCCACGTTCCAGGCGTTCATGAACTACATCTTCCAAGATCTCCTGGACGTCACGGTGGTGATCTACTTGGACGACATCCTGGTGTTCACGAACCAGGGCGAAGATCACAACGAGGCCGTCCGAGTGGTGCTCCGACGCCTCCGCGTGTACCGGCTGTTTGCCAAGGCGTCCAAGTGCGAGTTTGACGCATTCGAGGTCGAGTACCTGAGTCACCTGGTGTTGGCCAAAGGGGTACGCATGGACCCAAGCAAGGTCAAAGTTGTCCTTAACTGGCCCGCGCCAAAGACGGTGCACGAGGTACAAGTGTTCCTGGGTTTTGCCAATTACTACCGTCGGTTCATCGCGGGGTACTCTGGCATAGCAGCTCCAATTACCGAGTTGCTGAAGGGCAAGCCGTCCGGCAGTGTAGACTGGTCGGCAAAGCAGCAGGACGCGTTCGATCAGCTGAAGGCGCACTTCAAGCAAGGCCCCCTGCTACAGCACTTTGACCCGAATGCAGAGATGCTGCTTGAGACTGATGCTAGCGACCAGGCCATTGCCGCGGCGCTCAGCCAGCCGTTCGCGGCCCACTTGTCCGTGACTGGCGAGTTGCAGTTGGCCAGTCCACCAGACCCGACGAAGCCGAGGTGGCACCCAGTGGCGTTCCGATCGCGGAAGTTGAACTCGGCTGAACGGAACTACGAGATCCACGACAAGGAGTTGTTGGCTATTGTTGATGCGTTCCACGAGTGGCGTCACTACTGCTCGAACTCGCGACACCAGATCCTGGTGTTGACGGACCACAGAGGCCTCGAGTACTTTGCGACAAAGCGATATTTGAACGCACGCCAAGTCCGTTGGCAACTCAAGCTGGCCGACGTCGATTTCGTGATCCGGTACCGAGCGGGCTCGCAATGTAAAGTGGATGGGTTAACCAGACGCCCGGACATGCACGCTGGCCCAAACGCATACAACCCGGCCAACAAACAAGTGCTCCTGGGCCCGGACCGTTTCCCCCCGGGACGATCCGCAGATCCACTCGTGCTAGCCGAGCTCACCGACCACGGTTACGACGGCCTACTTGGAGACATCCGCGAAGTGACGCGCGGCCGAGATATCCTACCCAAGGACGTCCGGGGCTTGGCCAAGCGAGACGACTGTTGGTGGCGCGAACACGCGGCTTATGTACCAACCAAGGGCGACCTGCGTGAGCGAGCGTTACGCATGTGCCACGATGCTCCCACGAGTGGGCATGGAGGCCCCGGGCCAACGCTAGCGGCGTGCCGCAAGCTGTTCTATTGGCCAGGCATGCCCACGTATGTCCGAGACTACGTTAGCACGTGCCGGGTGTGTCAGCGGTCAAAGCCACCTCGCCATGCCCCGTACGGAATGCTACAGAACTTACGCACTCCAAACAGGCCGTGGGGGGACGTGTCTCTGGATT